TGAAACTAATGAGCCTACCTACCTTGTACTGGGTGGAGACTGGAGAGAGTATAGGGCAGAGAGAAGAGATGCCAAGATGGACCAAACCCTGTGTGTGGCATGAGACTGGCATGGCCCAGCAGGGCAAGTAGAACTTACTTGTCTCCTTCGTAGAGGTGAGGTTTCCGTAGGGCCTGTGTGACAAAGGAATTCTCCTCCTTGCTCATGAACTCAGGCAGTGGGTGGGATAGGGGGCTCCAATAGCATTCTTCACTCAGGGAGTGCAGCAGGACCCCTGCCAGGTGTTTGGCCGCCATCTGGCAGAGAAGGAGAGACTTAGAATGCCCTTGATGCCCTCAGCCCACCACACAACCCAATCTGTTTCATGGATCTGAGTATATTCAGCTGGCCCTTGCAGGGTTGGGAAAAATAGAAAGGCACAGGCAGCTCTCTCTATTAGATGCCTTTCTGATATTTGACCCAAAATACTAGCATGACAAGCAGCTGTGTCTTCTGATTTGGGGTGAACCAAGGCCTAAGAAGGCCAGCTTGAGTTGGGTCAGGAAAGCAAAGTCAATATTATTTATTAGGATAATAAACAAATTCCTAAGAATTACATACCATCTTGCTAGGATATGGTTTTGCTTAGAGAAGGATGGCAGTAGATTATAACTCTGATCTAATAATTATGATGAGAAGGGTGCTTAGGGTGCTTCCCAGGCTTAGTAGGAAAGAACTCTGAGATCGATTAGTATTATCTGTCACAATCAGAAGCAAGCAGATGCACACATAGGAAATACTGCCCACTAGGACTCCTATTCTCTCGCACTGAAATTGACCCTAGAATAAACCAGCCAGTATCCCGTTACCACTTTGAAGTTCTGTGTTGCTTTGGTCTCCACAGTCCGTAGAATCTCCCGGAGCTCTCTCATGGCCTTCACGATGTTCCTAGTGGGAGGACAAGAGAAGCAGGGCCATTATCGGCCTAGCTCCTACAAAGATGTCCTGGTGAAACCTGCAGACCCCAGGAGGAGCCTACCTGCTTGAGTTTGATTTGAACACAGTTAATAATTGGAATGAAAGGTCAGAGTTGTAACACTAGGACCCTAGAGGCCTAAGTCATCAAGAATCAAAGAGGAAGGAGAATCTCTTCTTCCTCATAAGCCCCCCAGCAACTTGGACCTCTAGTTTATCACCAGATGGTACCAAGAATTGAGAATCTCAAACATGGTATTATCTTAGCTCAAGAGCCTTGGGGTTGTGTCAGACTTTCTGACTTGAGTCAGCCTCAAATTCTCATCTTCAGCTGGTATATCCAGTCAACCCCAGAACCATCTCCACTCTCCGTTGCTACTACCAAGCCCCAGAGCAGCCTGCCTTGCCTCAGGCCTGGATGACCACACTGGCCAGTCCCACCTCCTCTAGTCAGACTCCTGTGCCTTGAAATTATTCTCAGTTTTTAAAAGTGTGACTTACAGGGAGAAATACATCTCATATTGCAACCCAGCATATACTCACTCTCCTTACCTAAAACTGAATTTTCTTAACACAATCTCTCTATTATGTGCAATCAACTCTGATATCCTCTATTTACTGCTTCCTTTATCCCATTTTAAAAAAAATGATAGCTGCAACTCACTAAATACTCCTTTTAACCCACCAATGGGCTGTGGTCTACAATTTGAAAAACTGCTCCTATCACCCCTTGAGTGGTCTGCCTGACATTCTATAGTTGTTTAGATCCTCCCCAAGTCAGCCCATATGTTAAGCCTACCCCACTCCCCCACCTCCATATTATAGAATATAGTCTAGGCCTTCAGCATGGTTTCCTAGAACTGTTGGGCGTGCCCTTCACATCATTCGCATCTAGTTCCCACCACTCAAGCAAGTTCTTTTGGAATGACTGCAGTTTCCTCTCAAGATGTGGCACAGGCTTTTTCCAGTGCCTTAAATAGTCTTTCCCCTACACATTTTTCAAAAACTAATCCCAATGTCACTTTCTCCAGGAAGCCTTCCCAGATCCGTCTCTAAGCCTACTATACCTACCTGTGTCTTACACCCTGTCAATTCCTCTTCTGAAGCAAGTACCACATCTCAAGGCCAATTTCCACCTACACACCTGACCCTCACTCACTGTGGCCTTCTGAGGGCAGGACTCATATCTTGCATGTTCCTGAAGCTCAGCCTAATTGCAGTTCCTACCTGAACATTTGCTCAGAGGGTTCCCTGGATCACACCACACAAGTGGGGAAATCAGAGGCTGCCGGGCCAGCAAATTTAGAAAAGTAAAGACCGTAGAGGGTGAATAGCCAAAGCTGGTAACAAGGAAAGTCATATAAATCCCTCCTTTAACTTGCAGTTTCCTGGGGGCTGTGGAGTCTGGGAACTGTAAAAGGGAAAGTTTGCAGATCTAGTCTCCTGGCTTGTGGGAAGCTCTGGCTTTAGACAAGAAAGCCCCAATGTGCAGACTACTAACGTTATGAATACAGACCCTTGTTTTTAGGGCTGAGAATAGAGGCAAAGGCTCTTGGAGTGAGGTGAAAATCAAAGTGACTTCCCCTAGCTTGCCCCAGTGCTTAGAAGAATGGGAATGGCAAACAGAACAGGAAACCTCAGCTCCCTCAGAGATGACTCAAGTCTAGGTAGAGCTACTGACAGTCATGTGGCCTACGGAAGCAGGCTCGTCTCTGTAGGCCGCAGTCTCCTAATCTGTAAAATAAGGACTTCCATTTAGCTCAGTGTTTCCTAGACTTCTGTTGTCTGACCACCATGTTTATAATTTTTACTGCTAGCTGCATATCACCAGTATCATTATGTATATAATACTTTTCTTTATATCTTCTTTCTTTTTACTTCAGTAGATATCTCACCTTAAATCTGAAATCATGGGTTTGGTGTGTTGGTTCTTTTTTTTTTTTTTTTTTTTTTGCCAAAAGTACTACATATAGGGGTATTTTAAAAAAGTTGGTATGTGTATCACTTAAAACCACCTCGCATACCAGTAGAGGTGCTCATCCTGTTCTCTGAGAAAGAAGGGTTTAGACTACAGTTTATCAAAATGTAATCCCTGGACCAGCAGCATCAGTATTCCAGGAACTTGTTAGAAATACAATTCTAAGGCCCCCAGTCCACACCTGCTGAATATTGGTTTTGTGGTTTTTGTTTTTTTTTTTTTTTTTTTTTTTTTTTTTGCCAAAAGTACTACATATAGGGGTATTTTAAAAAAGTTGGTATGTGTATCACTTAAAACCACCTCGCATACCAGTAGAGGTGCTCATCCTGTTCTCTGAGAAAGAAGGGTTTAGACTACAGTTTATCAAAATGTAATCCCTGGACCAGCAGCATCAGTATTCCAGGAACTTGTTAGAAATACAATTCTAAGGCCCCCAGTCCACACCTGCTGGATCAGAAACTCTGAGGTAGAGACCAGAAATTTGGGTTTTAGCAAATATCCAGGGATTCCAATGGGCACTCAAGTTTGAAAACCACTGGTTTGGTTGCTCCTCAGTGCCTGCTACTCCTAGTCTAAGAAGCATGGTTTAGAAGGGACGAGTTGACACGGAAATCCTGCTTTGCAGCCAGATCCTGAATCTCTACTCTAGAGAAAGCAAGGCTGCCTTTCTGAGTCCTATCTGTCTATTTGTAGGAAGAGCCCTTATTTCCTCCTAGTACTATCAGGAAGGTAATGTACATGAAGCCCCAAGTACATGCCAGCACGTGGTAGGTGCTTATAATAAATAATTTTCTGGGCCAGCTAGTGCTGGGTGGTTAAGGAGGCTGCGTCCCATATGGCCAACCACGTAGTCTGAGACCTGGACCTGGCGGCTTGAAGGATAACCATGCATGTGCATGAGTGCCCAAAATCCCTAGAGAAGAATAGAAAAGGGACTGCACCATGGCCATCCTGCCCGGGGGATGCTTTCTCATTTAAAAAGTAACAATAATAATTTTCCTTTATCATTCCAGTATAGATCTTAAAGATCATATCACTTATGTATGAACTTTAATTATTTGGCATGGAAGCTTGGGAGTTAATGAATAGGAGAAGACAGAAGTGCCAGAGGGGATGCTCCAGCTTTGTGTCCAACTGTTTCCTTCTGCCAGCTCCAGTGCCTTAGTGGACATAAAAACAGGGTTCTATGATAGACAAACTGAGCCTAGGGATGGGCCTGGGGTCCTCCAAGTAAGAAGAGTCTATAGTGGAGGTCCTTCAGTCCCACTGAGGCTTCTGCCTCAGGAAAGAACTTAGATCTGGACAGTGGGCCACAGGCCTGCCAGGTCAGTTGAGGAGACAGCCTAGCACAAGCCTCCATAAGGAGGGAGAAAAAAGACAGACTGCATGAGTTCCCAAAAAGGAGAGGCAACGCTGACTCAGGGAACGCCGTCTGCATGAGCACTCTGCCCTGACTGAGGCGGGCAGGACCTGGGGCCCTATGGCCCAGTGGCTGGCAGTGCCCAGGACCTGTGGGTGATTTTCCACTCCACGGGCTACCTGCCAGCCTCCTCTTTGGCAGTCTGGCCCAGGCTGCTATGATGGGCTGGAGCCAACAATGACTATGGGCCCTTCTCCCCACCTCACTGCAAGAACTGTCCTCTCTCTCTCCCACTGCAGGGGAAACTCAGCCTTTAGTCTCTACACTGTTGACACTCCTGGATCAGAGACTGACATCACCTGGGGGCTTGAGACCGCTGTAGTCTCTCAGGGACCCTGCCATCCCCAACACGCACAATTAAGTAATCAGTACTACCCTTAATAAGATTCTGTGTCCTCAAAAGCTGTGACTTTTTCTTGTTTTCAAATCTATAAGGGATTTTGGCACCCACATAAGTGCTCAGAAATTCTTTAGCAAAGCAAATAATCACCTTCAGGTTGCTCTGAGTAAATCCCAATTTTTACTGAAGACTTTAAAGAGAAAAAGTGGCACAGAGGTTCCAGTGGCTAGGACTACAGAGTGAAATATTTGGGATTCCATGGTGCTGACCTGTTCTTCAGTGTTGGAAATGCACCTCTGCCTCAGCTTACCCCCTGAGAAATGAGAACATGGAAGGGGAATCTCAAGGGCTTCCCAGATGGCCACAGGCCTAAGCAATCCTGTCCCAGGACTACAGCTGTTCATGCCAGGTGGAGGTGAGGCTTTTCCGAGACATTTTTGGCTGCTCTGTGAAAGGGCACCTTGAAAGATCTCTTTGTTCTCATCTCTCACACTGACCTTTCTGAGCAAAGCTGCCCACTTTTAACAATATTCAAACAAGGCCTCAAACAAGCTCTGGCCCAGAAACAGACTGCATAAGAAGAAGCCAGGAAGCTGTTTATTCCAACTAAAGTAAAGCCTGATTGGCCAGAAACAGAGAGAAAGAGATGTGTATGTGGTGATGGGTCAAGGACAAGGGCTCGTCTTAGGGAGGTGTACAGGTGGGACATTCATGTGGATGGCAAGCTGCACATTTTTCAAAGCCCTTCACCACATTTAGTCTTCACAGCCTCCAATGAGGGAGTGAGGCAGACAGGCTATAGCCCCAACACCAGCACAATACATGGTGCATAAAAGGGTCTCATCCAGCAGGAGGGTAAGGCACTGGATCTCACATGGCTGACTGCACAGTTCAAGTCTCAGACTTGGTGGATTGAAAAACATTCCAGGCATATGTGTGTGCAAGTCCAAAATCCCAAGAGGAGAATGGAGAAGGTACTGTGGCGTGGCCATCCTCTGGGGAGGGAGGGGGACTGAGGATTTCTCATTTTCTCTATCTCCTATGAATGCATGCGCCCTAATGCAAAAAAAGAATAAAATAAAAATAAAATAAAACAAAACAAAAAATTATTACACAAGTAAGTCCCAATTTCAAATGGGAAAATGAAAGCCTTGCCCAATGGGAAAGGCAGGCTTCAGATTTGACACTACTTTAATGCTGAGACCCCTGAGAAAAACCTGGCACAGTTACACTTT